AACTTCTTCACTCAGACAATGACATCACAGACTATTGGTTGTACTTTTGCCAATCCATTTTCTATCTTTATTATCTTTTTATTCCAAACAAATACTACTGCATGCTGCGCTGCGTAGTCCGTAGTTTATGAAGAGCCTTCAACTTCAGAGTAAACGTTTCGCACTCAATAGTTGACATTAGAAGCACACTGGTCGAAAACGTTCCGTTTAAAGCATAAAGGCAGCTTCATGGCCAAGAACGTTTTTAATCTTAAAAAGGTACCCATGCCATTGTTGCTCATCTGTTGCTTTCGCAGAACTGGTTATCTGTTGCAGAGATGCGCGGTCCCCTTCAAACCTAAGTCCATTGTCTTCAACAGGTCCCGAGGCTATGTATTTGGCGAACATGTTCTGAATCTAAGTATATTTTCAGTCTTGCTCTAATATTGGCGTCATTTAGCTCATGGATGCTTCATTGGAGTTCTTCTGCCAACCTTGAGAAGATCAAGTCATACTGTAAGATTCATAAATAATCCACGGCACAAACTGAGCCTATCATGTAAACGTGAGTGAAACTGATATCTAAACAGCTACAAACTCCCACACTTTCCTCCACTTCTTTCTGCTCAAACAGTGACAATAACCGAGTGTAATCGCCTAAAGCATCAACGTCTAATATCCTCTCTTCTAGAAAGACCTGAGATACAAACGCAAAACAAAGAAACGTTTCTGCAATAGTTTAACGTTTTGAAAAACCCTACATTAAGTCATACTAAGCCCTTTACTGAACTGTGTATACCGCATCTACAGTATGACTTTTGACGTAAGATAGAAACGACTAACATATCTGTCAAAAGTTAGCATATCATCTTTAAAAAATTTGCTCACTTGGTTATAAACGTTCAAAAGCGTCAGATGATCGCCAGCAGGAGACCAAAAGCTCTGTCGCGCCGTGTCTGCATGGACGATTTTGTCTTTTGGCCGGTAAAAAATGGCACTGTTTACGGACAACATTGCTGCAATCGTCAGTACTTCTTCAGAACAGTGAAACCTCAAAATGCCCAATTTATTAATCAAACTACTACTGGCTGATATCATGCTTGTATTTTTTGCTAAACATTGCTTTCCGTAATCAAGCGGTCGCTAAATCTGTATAACCTCTCTATCTCTATGTGACGAAAAATAATCAATGCGATCAACTGAGAAGGTGAAGTACGGCGAACAGTAATAGCTATATAATCCAGAAGAACCGAATAAATCAAGAGGTTTCAGTAATTAGGGAAGATGAATCTCTTTATGGCTTTAAATCGGTTCTACCAAAATAGGACATTTTGACCAGTGACCTGAGCGCAAAAGCTGGGAGCTACTGCCCGTATTAATCCTGATAAAAGT